ACAAAGAAATGCGAAGACAGCTAAGGTAAAGCGCTCATCCCATAGAGTGTTGGTAGTACCCTAAATTTGCTCGCATAACTCTGTAAATCTGCTCTGCATCTGTTCGTTTTGGTAGTGATAACAAATGTAGTGACAAAGTTGATCGAGTCGCGTCCTACTGGATACTGGGGGTTGATAGTGTAGTCCCGTGCGATCGTGCATAACACCATCTGCAGCAAGAAGTCGTGGTGGATGATAACACAGTATGATACATCCCGTGGAATGTGTGAGTGTTTTGGAAAATCTTGTAGGGTAGAATTGATTCCAAGAGTACTATATAACCAGTCGACTTCTATTAAACATAAGGATGCGCGTCTTCTGAGCACAAATTAATACTTGCCATTGCGAAGTTGGCAACAACGGCGACTTGGAGTTGACGATGACCCTTGTGCTCGACGGTTCTCGCTGCCAAAAAAATGGAACTTGAAAGTGGAGAGCCTGGCACGGACTAATTTAGCGATTACAGTTCACACTGACGAAAACAATGCAGGATACGCACAATATATGGATAAGAGCTGGGCGCAAACGAATGCTGATGGTTTTCACACTCGACGCGTCTGAAGGGCTTTAGTTAGATCCAGGTATCCAGCAGGAGAATGAGGGTCGGACTCATCTAGGTTTGGTTTAAGAACGGGTGCGAGATGCAAATGAATGGAACAGTACTTTTGGCTCGCTTCTCTCGAGACACTCAGGTTGGTTTCAAACCACAGGACCTTCCTCATTTAGATAGCGTTAGTCAACTTATATGTCATGAGAAAGCTGATGAGTACTCCCGCAAAGCCTTGGTTCGCATCAAACATGTACTTCCCACTCTGACAGTGTTCCTTGACGCTTCCCCGCAGCATTCCCCGCAGCATCTACTCCCCACTCTGGCAGACTGAGTTTGTTACACATGAGAAGACACCGTGGACAGCGCCTTTAGAGTAAGTCTCGCCAAGGTTACGCTAAATAGCATGCTGCAGTTCAGTGACACATACATTGATCATCTCTTTCATACTGTGGACTATAGCCTTGAGGTTTTCCTGAGGAGCCTACCTCTGTACAAGGGTTCTCCTCCAGGCAGTTCAGGAATGGTCACGGTTTTTCCCAACTCAATTACCCATGGGATCCTGCAAATTCATTGCATCCTCCGGGTTATTCGGCTGGGAGAATGCACCAAGACACTAGGGAAAGTTCGGTCCGCTACGAACGTCAGGGCGCGTTGTCTGGGGTCTCAATTCGAAGTGACAATGAGAGCCCATGTCAAGAAGTGACCGAGAAAGATGTTCGTACGTTTCTTCGATGCAGCAGGCATAGAATCTATGCGATAAGCACAAACCTCGCCATGTCAATACATATATCACATTCTGCGGCTACTACTCGCTACAAGATATATGCAACAGCTACTATCATGAGTATGGTGGACGATAGGTTACGGTTCGATTTTGCCGATTTGCCGCGACATATTTGAAAGTCCGCGCGATGTTTATTCTAGCATTACAAGCATACCTAGGTATACATGCAAATTTGTGTCACACTCTCAATGCATTACCTTACTTGGAGACCGCTGCTGTCCGAGATTCGAGTTGCATGTGACCCTGGCCTGACTGAAAGGTGATAACAAGGAGCAGCAGCTATATCTGATCTTTCTCTGGGCTATACTAATACTAGTATCATACTAGTAGTGATGCCGCAGAGGCGAATCAAATCGAGGCGACTGATTATTTGCAAGTTAATACCCAACAGATATCTATCTACATATTGTAAGAATGGACTCGGATCGTTTAATCCCGCGGAACCAATTCGCGTCGACGCCATGTGCTCCACCCGAACCCCTCTTCTGCTCCACTTTGGTTCAGGCATGTACTCCACTTCAGCTCCTTTGTGTTAATAATTATAGTCAGTGTCTGTCACGAGCTCGACTGTGGGCGCCGTTCAAACCTGTGTTGGGTCAACGAACAACATGGTTTTATTAATGCGTCGAGGCTGAGCGTTGCATTGCACACTGGACATTGTAGTAAGAATACTTCGAAAATCGCACGGGCACCGCGCTCAAATCATATGCGGCGTTCAAACATTCTTCACGAGTCACTGTGTTGCGATCTCACCAACAACTTTTACCTTGATCCCATTGGTATCCCTGGATGCACATTGTCTTTGCACTGGAATTTGGGCTGAAACACTTCGATCAATCAGATATCATTCCTCAAATCTCACTTTGGCGATGTAAACACTGGATTACGGTATATCAAGCATGAATGCCATTGTTATCCGTCCATCAAGTTCCTCCGCTCGCTCGCTCCCATCTTCTGATAGTATGACCTTTCTCTATTTCGGTGTATGTATCTTGCCAGTGTATTTCAAATACAACGGACATAGATGAGGATGATGGAGGTTAAATTGACAAAACCCATCAAAAACGAGGTGCCACGGGCACCCTCCGGTTCATCAATGATCATAGTACCAACTTAACTACGAGTGAGCCGAATGAATGGTACCAGTATCATGCTTAATGCGGCAAACATAGTTCTTTGGCCCAGCCTGTCCGCTTCAGAATCCAGGAAACCGAAGCCCGAAACCGAAGCCCGAAACTTCAATCTGAAGGAACAAGAAGACAAATCTCACCACATATTGGCCTTCAGTGCTGCAGTTCAAAATACCAAGTACCGAGTGAGTTCATCATGTGAAGTTGTTTAATGCCTTCAACGCATCATATACGCAGATGGCAGCGACAAAACAGGTGCATAGTAAGTTAGTGTAAATACACCTCATGTCGCAGCAGTTACCGCAACAGTTGCAAACTTGCAGCATTTTCACGATGCCCGCATCCAAGCTAATTGCATCGGCAGAGACTCGACAATTAGGAGGCTCACTCAGGCTTGCAAGGGTGTGGGAGTCTCACAGGCACCGGTTTCCGCATGCTGCACTTGCAAGAGGTGAGAGGTCAACGAGAGGTTGTAGGAGTTGCGTGAGGTGCTTGCAGGTCAACCGGTTATCTGCAGCGGTCTGCAAGCAAGGAATGCACTGAGTGTGACACGAATTTACAGGTATACCTAGGTATACTTGTAATACTAGAAGAAGCATCGATCGGACTTCCAAATAAGTTGCGGCAAATCGGCAAATCGAACCGTAACCTATCGTCCACCATACATGAGCAACTCAAGGTCGAAATAGAAAATAGAAAATTCAAATTAGCACTTTGTTGTCTGCATCGAAGAGAACGCATCATGATTACTGTGTGGTACAAAAGACCTTGCGTGACAATGCATGCCATGATTCATGATTCCTCTAGACGAGTCAGAATGCAACAAAGTGTTGTGCAGTGGGTGCGATGAGTTCTCACATTAATATCTTTGACATCCTTTACAACTATTGGCGAAGGCAGAATTCGTCGACAAAAATCTCAATGACCTTGTTCGGCAGACGACCTGGACTGTGAGCAATAAAGCAGGTCCAATGGCATTCGGGCGCCTCGAAATAAGTAACAATCAAGCGTGATGTACGGTCCGCGTGGGGTCGAATGACCACAACTTCAAAGAAGAGTCTTTGACATATGGAAGTGGTCGGTGCCTTGACACTGCGACCATATTTTGGCTCTCAAAGTCCGACTCTTGGTCTGTTGAATCCCCGTCGGAATCGCTAGAATCACCCTCCCTAATGTCCTCATCAAAATGGCGTGAGCCCGATGCTGACAGAAGATTAGAGTGCAAGGGCTGAAATGCCACGCAGCCAACCACATCTTCGGTCACAAAGATCAGCTTTAAAGGGATGAGCACAGGTGTTTGGTATACTTGCCTCCGTGTGCGTTGAAAGTCATCTCTGGGGCGATATTTTGCAGCGAAATCACCGATGACTGTTCAGAATCCAATTCGTCCGAATCCCCGAGGTCAAACATCGAAACACATCCATTCTATAACCAGATTGTTAGCCAGGAAGTCTGAATGGTGGATATCTGTGAAAGTCGAGTACCTGATCACCGACGCTCAACAATCTTCCAGCGCAATCTATGTCGAATTCGATTTTTTGATTGGTTAAGGTTTTGCGAGAATCAGGGGACATCCTGAAAACTTTCACAGGTACAGATGTATCACTGCGAAGGTCCCATGCATATATAGCATCGTGTCGACGAAATGCAGCATACAAAATATGCGGTTTTGTCGGGTTAAACTTCAGCTGTAAGGAATAAGATAAGCTCTACTACTAATTCTCCAGGTGACATGCCTGCGTGACTCCGGATTGAGAATATGCGCCTCCTATAGGCATGATGGCTGCTTGATTTGACTCCGAATACAGCGCAATATTGTCCATTGCTTGTGAGGAAGGTGTTAGGCTGCCGATCGCGTAGTAGTCATAAGAGGAGGAAAAAGCTATGCTGGATACGATGCCTGAAATTGGATCAACATTCATACGATCTAGGAAATCTAATATGTTGCCTTTGAGGCCATCCTTGCTCTTCTTGGAAGGCGTGGTCGGGAGCCGATCGCCCTCCCCAGGTTGTTGTATGTCGAATATCTCGATGGCATCTTCGAAACCGCAGTATAGCCTTGGTGTGGGTGATGCCCGTGGTGATTATTATCAAACATAAACAGAGTTTTCATGACAGACTTACTTATTGGCTGTTAAGTTGAACGCGAGACTATGAGGAGCGATGAACCTCTCACGATGATCGATAATCGGGTACGAGGCTCTCAGCTAGTGGGGTCGATCAGCGGTCTGACGAAAACGTACATGAACACTACCCTTCCATCCGAAGCATCCAGAAGCTTCACTGGACAGTCACGCACAGAAGCGACGAAACAGTAAGCTGGAGCATTGCTGGATGATGCCCCAGGATACCAAGCAAAATTGAGGACCGCTGAGGACTGCGAGAATGTACGCTTATGGTGAGCGGAGAACTGTGTGCCTTCAGGACGCTTCGATAGGTGAAAAAGCTAAATCATGCGCAACACGACTGACCTTGAATGTCTTGACTTCAGGATTGAAACTGTATCTGAGATTGTAGATGACTCGGACAACAACGATACTTACAGATTAAACAGCTGAAATGCCCTGTTTTCGCACTGGATGAGAAAGCTTGATCCATCTGCACACCTTCAGTGTTTTGATATTTGAACGGTGCTCAAAGTGGTTGACTGAAAGACATACCACCTGGCGCAACGAGCGAAATTGTCTGCGAAATCAGGATCCACGTCCAGATTGTTTGTTAGGACAAGATCTGGAGGGTGGGAGACGTCAAGCGGAGCAGGCTTCCAGTCCATCTTGGCATTTGCTGAACTTCTATAAGTCGATGTTGTATCAAACTTGTAGTATCATGTGACTAGGTAGACGGCGTCGCAACCAATTCAAGTTAGTAGTCCTTGAGCTTGAATATTTGAATCACGGCAAAGACGTGCTACAGTTACATATACAGAATATCATCCATCACAACTGTCAACTGGTGCATGCAACGTGATCTCCAAGTTCTCTGAGTCTGAGGTCCAGTTGCTCAGTACTGCCAAACCAGCAGCTCCTCCTCCGAGGAGTCCGAGTTAGCTACTGTGGGAACTTGGAAGCTACGTTAGCCTTTTTATTTGTACCGTGCTCTAGAATATTATAAATACGATAGTGTGTACGTTGTAATGATAGTAAATGACACCAATAACAACCTTCCTGATGATCACTCACGCGAAAGGCGCCTTCCAGGAGTCTGGTGCTCGCTGAGGTATATACAAATAAAATCTCCATCGAATGTAAGTAACTCGAGGGATGAGATGAACATCATGGCATGTCAGGTGAGATCTTCGTAAAGGATGGGAAGATTAGATTAGTGATGACCATCAATATACTCAGGGGAGGTGCAACAGATAAAGAGCCAGAAGCGAGTCCAGCGTCCAGCGTGTTTGATCATTACATGAGGATTGGTGTTGGAAGTTGTAGCTTCGGGAGTAGCGATGGCTGGTGGTATGGTAGACTGCATGGAGATAGCAGCATGTGGCTGTGAAGATGATTGTGACTGAGCCGCGCCACTGGATTGCTGCGTGGCATTTGGGTGTGAGGTACTTGCAGTAGCGTTTTTCGAAATTGGCCTCCGCTTTTCTCTTGCACAAGCGTTCCTCTGTGCGGTGCGAAATGAAGTGCGAACTTCTGAGAGGGAAGAAATGACATACACGTTTGCCCTTGGCATACGGGATATCAACTGAGCGCCGCTCGATCCCAGAGCCACTTCCCCCCAGAGAGTAGGTTTCGAGTCCAGTGAAACAGGCGGGATAGGGATGACGTATCATGAACATCGGGTCGTGCAGGAAACTGAGAACATAAAATCAGGAAAATACAGGAGGAGATGCTAACTACTTACACGAGCACGATCTGGTGAGTCGTCGAAAAAAACTCGGAGTACCCGAGGGGAGACCTTAATTGGCTGACGGACAGGACGTCGTGTAGCATCAACCTAGAATGCATAAGCTCAAATGCAAAGAGAACTCTCAATGAAAACATCACTTACTGAGTTGTCGCGCTGGTCCGAAAGAAGGTCGTCGAGGCCGGCTCCTTTTAATACAGCAGGAATGTCCCATGTATATACATTCTTGTCATCGCAGCCAGTGGCTAGTAGTTTTCCATCTGATGAAAAGGAAACGCTGTTCATGAAATTCGTATGGTGGAGGGGCGAACTGATGGGCTGGCCGTTGTCGAGGTTCCACAATTGTGTTGTATTGTCGGATGATGTACTTGCGAGAATGGGGCCATTCGGAGATATTGCAATGGCAAAGACAGTGCCAGTGTGCCCATCGAGTAATGCGATCTGTTTCCAGTTTGAAGTATTCCATGTCCTAATCGAGCGATCAGATGACCCAGATATAAGTGTTTTTCGATCCAAAGTCCAAGCCAAGCAAAACACAGGGCGCTTGTGCCCTTTGAGAGTAGCAACAAACCTTGCCTGTCTTCGCATCCCAGATTTTGACTGGGTGCTCGTTATCAGGAACCGTGGGCTCGTCGCATCCACCAGTTGCAAACATGGTCATGTCTGGCGAGTAGACGACTTTGTACACGTTTTTGTGCCCAGTCTTGATTGGACCGAGGTTTGTCTCTCCCTTCTCCACGTCCCCACTCCTTTACAATCCCATCAATGGATCCGCTCACTACTCGCTGAACCATCTCGACTCCAGCACACAGACCACACTGTTTTTGTATGTCCCATCCATTTCGCGATAACTTTGCCTGTGTCGAATGTCCCACAATCTCATTCCGCCGTCCTCACTTCCGCTAACAACTTTCTTCTTCCCGTCCGGAGACAATGCCATCGTCCATACTCCGCTATCTCCGTCCCGCCAGTTGTTGCCTATCTGTTTCCCGCTCTTCAGGTTCCATATCCGCAACGAACCGCCACTCGAACAGGACATGATCCGCTGTCCGTCTGGCAGATGTATGACGCCAGTGACCCAACCGGTGTGAACCTTCGAATTTCTGACAGGGCTTTATCGATGTTGATGTCTCTTGCGTCACAACAATGGTGAAGACATAATCAACTACCGCGCGCACGTCTCAGCTTTTCATCCAACAAAGTCCAAAATCATCACTCACCACGATATGTTTCTTAACAGATCTTAACACCAAGACACAGTGGGCGTATAGGTCAAGAGTGCAACTAGAAGTCTGAGCTGGTACGTTTCCCATGCATTATCCTCGTATGCGTATGCTGTGCAACGACCTAAGCCTCATTTGTGATCGCATTCCATCATTCACAATTTTTGTCCTCCGGCTTTACTACCTGGTCATTGTATAATATGCTAAATTGTGCATCCACCTCTCCCCAACCAACTCCTCCTTGAACGCGCTCGTCATCTCCGAGTCGCCAACTCGATACACATCTCGTGCGTAAAATGTATATCTTACTGCGTCTCAACTACGAAAAAACTACGCCGAACCCTAATTAGCTACATGTTACTTAACGGTTTTACTCCATGTTGGTGTCTCTTACTTGGGTCCTGGCGCCGATCCTAGCATTTTGTTTAAGCGACGGTAAATTGATAAACCTTCCGCACTCCGCGGCAAAACCTTCAGCTCAACTCGACACAAATTGCAGAATCCCGAACTAGCCGCAACCAGAAAGGGGTAGAAATCTCCCTCATGCATATGACTTCCTTCTATTGGGCGTATCCAACATCCACTGGGAAGCTGGTTCTGTTCTGTGTCAAACCAAGCGGTTGGTCATCCTTGATCATCACGACCTGATGTCAGTTCAACGTTCAACTGTCCACCGATCCACTCAAACGCCCCTATCATTATACAGATAACAGACCCGTACGCACAGACTCGCATACCCACACATAAGTTATGTCTATCTACTGCAGGAGTATTATTGAGAAAACTCACTCACTGATACGTGACATGTTAGTTTAAGATACGCTTGTGGTTGCTTGGTAGGTTGGGCTCCCACGTGCCTAAGCGACGTTGGCGCCAGCTGATGCTGACTGGTTGTGGAGGCAAGAATGGCGTTAGTTGGACATATGGTCGTTGGTAACTTGTCTTCGGCTGATAATGAGTGGGTGACAACTGAAGCTTGAAGCATAGTAACAATCCCAAAGAGTCTCTGAGCTGTCGTTGGTCGGACGAAGGGAAGTGCCACGGTGATATCACGAGTTAGTACCAGGCTACACGTGATAATCGAGCGGGCCACCTAACCTTGCTCGTTCCCGACCACAGCGGCTCATAGCTTGTCGAGCCACTGCCGCCGCATCAGATGTCCTTTATCTTCGTCGTTCAAAGTAATATGTCGTATATTAAGACCTAAAGGCTCCGCAATCAACGAAACGCACCCTAAAGAATCCACCGGTTCTCTGATGGCGGCCCCCATCGAATGGCATGACATAGGTGGCGCGTCTCCGAGTTGTCCCTGCCGACAAACATGTGCCCTACGGTTCCCCACATCTCCAAAGCCTAGTGAAGTTTGCAGTGATAGCTGTGCTGAATAAGTCGTAGGTTCGGAGCTCCGATTAATCGATAGGTCGATCGGTCATGAGGCCTCTAGCCAGTGGCCATGCATGAGGCCAACTTGACATTAACCAAGGGTCGTGCTTCTGAACTGTCCGACCCAGTGCGTTTGCCGAACACTGGTGTTGGATTGAATCCAACGTCATGTGAGCCTAAAAAATTGACGATTCCACTGCATTACTTTGTTGTTTGCACTGCCAAGAGGCTTGTTGTTATTTTGGTTGCCAGAACGTAAGTCACAAGCTGTGGTGCGATATAGACGATGTGATGCATCAAATTTAATTTCCTAAAGGAATTGTGTATTTGGTACGGACCGCGATTCATGGATTCTACGTACCTGGTTGTCCTGCCAGCCACGGCTTTGATCAGGGACCGACCCTACTATACTACGCAGTACTTCAAAGTTCAAGCGCAGTATGAAGTTCAACTGCATCCGCTTCATGCTCACCTCCCGTCACAGCCTCTCGCAGCTGCTAGCTTTGCAGCTGTCAAACTCATAGAGTTTTCGTTTTTTACGACGCAATGAGGCAGCTCAGGGTAGCACCCACTAGCACTGCCCTTGTCCACCATGATTTCATACAAAAGGCAGCCATCCATTCCATCATACTCCATAATTCATCACTCCTCCTCTTCCCTCCACTCCAATTTTTCAGGAACAATGGCTCTCGACTCTCATGGCGTCCTTGCAGCAGTGACCATCGCAATGTATGTTCCCTTCCTGCTAGTTTCCATCAAGATAGTGTCCAAGTACGGCATGGCCCGAGGTGATGGGTGGATCTTGCTGTTGGTATTCTGCATCAGTAAGTCGTTTTGATTTATTGAAGACATAATTTAAACCCTATTACAACCTTCAGTTCGAGTATTGGGTGGTGCTTTGCTTGTCGCAGCTGAGGAAGTTACTCCGTGAACACTTCGCTATACATCGGTGGTTATGCTCTAGAAGCATCTGGCCTATCACCACTGTTGCTTTGCACGCTGGGGTCTGTTGCACTCAATGTGCGTTCATCCAGTTGCCATTTTGTATGGAATGCACTGAACATTACCATAGATTCCAAACTCCTGATGGATTTCCGAGATATC